ATTGGCTGTTGTCGTGTTCTGCTGGTATTGAGACTGGTGCTAGTTCTGCATACCAATTCCCTCCAAATTTGCCTGACAAAAATGGTGATCTTGATCAGCAACAAAATGTTCCAGTGTTGCCACCCCAAGAAGGGAATTTTAATGACCAGTGTCGTCTGCCAAATATCAATGTTGGAGGAGGAAATGTTGAAAATTCCAATAGAGGTTTCATGGATAATACTAGTACTGTAGTTGCTACTCCTACCTTGATCAACAACAACAATATTTCTCATGAACAAGAATCGGCCAGGGACCCTGATATCTTCATGATGCCCGATGATTTTTTCCCGTATGAGCAGGATAACTATCAACCTCCTTCTCAGGTACATATAAACCAGAAATTTATGATTTTCTTTCATTCTTGCTAATATATATTATTTCAGCTCTTTCTCTGTCTCTTTTTCCCCAAAAAATTGTTTATTTCAATGTGTGCAGCAACAAGATGGAGGTCACGATCAACTTCCTTATCAAGTTGAAGTGCCGGACCCTGCTGCGCACCAAGTTCCCAACCTTTCTGCGGACCAAGTTCCAAACCCTGGCCCATACCATGTCGAAGGTAATGCACCTGATGAAACAATCTTGGAGCCAGGCATGCCTACTCTCTCTAAATTATAGCAACCATGTATTTACATCTCTTCTGGTAAAAAAAAGAAAAGAAAAACGAAAGGGCTCTCTCTTTGATAATTTTTGGTCATTTGGTTTTGCTTGTATACTTGCAGAACATATATGGGATGCTGATATACAGTATGCTGATATATTGGATGGTGGTATATGGGAGGCTGATCCGTGCTATTGGATATAGAGGAATGCTATTAACAATCGCTCAAAAGCGATTCTCACAGCACTTGCTAGACACGTGTACCCGTTCCCATCCTTTCTTTTTTTTAATTGTTTTTTCTCTTTCTTCTCTCGGTTGCCTCCCTCTCTCTCTTATTCTATTACTTTTCTCTCTTTCTTCTCTCTGTTGCCTTCGTCTCTCTCTTTTTTCTATTTTTTTTTCCATTGCTCTCCCTCTATTCTCTCCTCCTCCTGCTTCTTCTCCTTCTTATTTTCTTTTCCCCGTCTCCGTCTTCTTCTCTGTATCTGTCTCCATCGATGGGTTGTAAAAACCCAAACCTTTTGTAACACAAAAACAAATACCTCAAGCTTTAAAAACCCAAACTTCTTCTTCTCTGTGTATGTCTTCCCCCAAATCACAGTTCTCTCCCTCAGATTTCTTAACTTTCTTCTCTCTTTTCTCTCTGTTTCTCTTCTCTCTCTTTTTTAATTTCTTCTTTTTCTTCTCATCTGGTATCCGAGAAAGAAACCCATTTGATGGGTCTCGGAAAAATTCTAATGGAGCTATTGGTGCTGGAGGTGTAATCCGTGACTCTACAGGGGACTGGGTCACAGGGTTTACAGTTAATTTGGGTAAAGGCCAAATCTTAGAGGCTGAGATATGGGGGCTGTTCTTTGGTCTCAAATTGGCAGCTGAAAAAGGCATCCCCAACCTTGTGGTTGAGATGGATTCTGCAACTGCAGTTCAGCTTTTGAGAGAGAGACTTAAGACTTGAGATTAAAAATGGAGGGGAGTGCTGAGGTTTCAGACCAGAAAAATAGAAACAAAAGGGCTGTGCAGGCCAGAGAGCACGGAAGGGAAGAGGAAATGGAGAGAAGGAAGAGAAAAAAATAATAGAATAAGAGAGAGAGGGAGGCAACCGAGAGAAGAAAGAGAAAAAACAATTAAAAAAAAGAAAGGATGGGAACGGGTACACGTGTCTAGCAAGTGCTGTGAGAATCGCTTTTGAGCGATTGTGAATAGCATTCCTCTTGGATATAGGATACAATATGGGTCCCTACAATTTCTATTTCCTAGATACCCATAACCAGCCACTGCTCCTTGGCTCCATGGATGAGGATGCTTCAAAAGTGCTCTTTGCACTTGCTTCTAGGATTATGGTATTGAAGGTAATTTACTATAAGTTGTATTGAAGGCAGTCAAAAACCGAGCAAGGAACGATCCGAATCCAGTCGTTTGAATGAGAGGTTTATCCCGTTTACTTGTTGGTCATGTCCAATCGAGGAATTGAATTGGGGTTTGAGCTTTGGCCTCTATAATACCAAAAGGAGAAAAAAGGAATTATATTGACTGGAGGTGATAATTAATGTTAATGATTCGGGATTTGAAGTTGTTTGAGCACCTTTTATTCGTTTTAGTTTTGTTTTCTTTGGACTTTTATTCATCATCACTTTTGAAACATTGCATATTAAACAATTAAACAATTAGAGGAACAAGTATCTTGTGTAAAATCACCATTACTATAAGTTTGTCTAAGAGACCGGGAAAAGAACCAATTCAAGGATTCCATCAATCAGTTTGATATAATAAAGGGCGGTAGTCTTTGCTTCTATGATTACATATATGGCACTCTCGTAAGAGTGCAGTCTCAAGTCTCAAGAATTTATAGCTCAAGTAACCCTTTGCTTCTATGATTATATATATGGCATTCTCGTAAGATTGCAGTCTCGGTCCCAAAAATTTGTAACTTAAGTAATTAAGAATAAATTGTGTTTCCCAATATTACTTTGTATGATTTTACTAGTAATTAAGCTTTCACCTTCCACCAAAATGATGGTGGGTAATTGCACTGAAACCAAATTCCTAAGAACAAAAGCTAGCCAAGAAGATAGAAGATACCAACATCAGATAGATATATCACCTTAGGAGTTTGAATGAAGGCTGATCAACAAATTTGCCCAAGTGATTGAAGTTTATTTTGATTGATTAGTTAAGCAGCAAATATACACAACAATTTACTATTTTACTAACTGTACAGAATGTATGAATATAAACAAAAAGAATTAATTTTCTTGCTAATCTTTGTCCCTATACTCTTCTCATGAACTATAATATGCAAAGCAAGGTGAGGGCACCTTAGGAAGGAACCTGATCCATCCACAAGCTCAAGCTAACTTCCTCTAAAAGATCATCAAAAATCAGGTCCTCAAGCTCAATTCCTATGCACTCAGAATCAAATTGGAGGTTCATCCACCCATCGTTTTTCGCCAAATCTCTGCTCACAACATAATCCAATGATTGATCAAACTCTGGACTCAAGCTCAAGTACCAACTTACAAGGGCCCATACTTGCTTGAGAACGTGGTGCCCTGCTGGCATTAGAGGGATGTTACATAGAGAAGACAAGGTCATGGGACAGTAAGTATATGACCTCCCATATATCTCCATCAGTACCTCATTGATCAGATCAAACAACAGAAAGTGATCACATTTGCCACCTTCTTCATTTCCTGAACAATCAGGATCATGGACCAAGCAGCCTTCGACGCCTTCATACGCTAAAGAATCGACCAGCTGGTCATCTGAATGCCAAGTCCCGAGGGACTCATTCCCATTGAACCCTGATTGCTCCAACACATCTCTCACATAGTTAAATTCAGCCATGTCTCTTGCATCAACTTGAAGATGAGACATGTCATAACTCAAATGCCTGCTGTGACTCTGTGTTTTCTCTGTATCCAGTCCACTGTGAACCACCTTAGGGGTATCAAGAACAGGCTCTTCCCTTTGCTTGGCCAAGTTCTCTGGTCCATCTCTAAGCTTTAATTTCATTTCTGCTCCTATAAAACCAATATCCAAAGCATGATCCATTTCAGCCCCAAAGGTCACAAGTTTTTGATCGATGCAAGAAAATATGAGAATAGTTTAAATGGGAAATATAATTAAATGCAAATAACATTTCTACACTGCAAAATGCTTGTTTGATCATTAAGTGCCAAGATTTAAAGACTAATAATCTGATAATTCCCCCATTTGGATTGAGGGATTCCAAATCTATGGATTTAGATGACATTATAAGGTAAAATTGTTTGCATAGACTATTACAATCCATGTATGCCAAGATTTGGACAAGAAAGAAAGGAAAAAAAGCGAATAGATTTCAAATGATTCCTTATATGCAGTCATTTCAAATCCATTTCAAATGTACTACGTCTACTTCTTTCAAAATACATTCAATCTAATCCAGTTCTTGTTTTTGTA